TTCAGTCTAGTTTGGTAAGACCGATTATTTCACCTTGTTATTTATAATAATATCATTAAGTATATATTTTAAACTAGCGACCCGCCCCGGCTTCGCACGGGTGCAATATATATATACATACAAACCTTCCTTAAGAATCACTCTATCTATTAAAAAAAACCGCATCAAAATCCGTTGCGTAGTTTTAAAGATCTAAGCATACATACGGACATACAGCGAAAGCGACTTTGTTTTATGCTATGTATTGATATATAAAATAATATTATTGAATCGGTCTTTATGCATTAATATGCCTGGTTTTATTCTATTCATTTTGGTTATTTTTATTTATATTTTATTAGTCTATTAAGATTTTTTTATATTCTAGCAACGCTAACAAATCTATAAGCCTCATACCTCATAACTTCAATATTGTTTTACAAATTAAGTTACCAATAAATAATATATCCGCCTCGTCCCAATTAACAAATGCCTTCAACATCGAAACTAACGAACTCAAAAGTCTCAGAGCCTAATCTCAATCTACACACGTTTGTACTCGCGGTCAGGCGGTCAGCAACCGGTTCCCAGCTATTCAGGTCACTGGAGCCCTTGCCCAGTTGCGCTTGTTTACGTGTAGCAGGTATGTTTTAATGGTCAGTAAGAATCAAAGTCAATCTGGAAGTAGGTAAGCTGTGTAGTTTCGAGAGTCAAAAATATTCTTTTTTGATAGAAGATTTATATCTTCTTCTTGGTAGCTCATATACTGTAATTGTTAAAATATTAGTAACTAGCTTATACCCGCGGCTTCGCTCGCGTCACAAAAGGATAAAAAGACAATGTGACATATACCAATACACACAGCGCCATCTATACCAATACTTTTGTTTTCCCTCGGGAATATCACATTTTTCCGGGATAAAAAGTACCCTATTATTTAATCCGGACTTCAAAGCAATCGGTTTAGTAGTTATGGCGTAAAAGCGGAACAAACAAACAAACAAACTCACTTTCCGATTTATAATATTAGTAAGGATGGACTGAAACTTCTTAGTAACCTGACTAATATAATTTTAAAATCATTAATGGACATTTAATAAAATTACAATTACCTAAATAATTTAAACTAAAACTGTACCAGGTGATCAGAGACGAAATTAGTAAAAACTTTAAAAAATTAAACCACGATGGATGGTTGACTACGGAAAGTTGTTGTATTCTCTCTACGTAACATAATATTATGTATACTTTATGTCTTATTAAAAATATTTTCTTTAATGTTTACGAATCAAAAAATATAACAACATGTCTTTTACAATCATTACACTATGAAGAGGAATAGCCAGGATGTGCATACAACGAACATAATTTGAAATGGAGAACTTTTTACTGCACCTCTACTTAGAAACTTAAGCAAACTAAATTTCTCCACTAGTAACCTACTGATTTGAACACAAAAATACTGATTTGCACACTAATTGTTCAATATTAGTTTAGGTTAGGTTTGTTTTATTTTTGTTTTTATATAAGTATTTTTGTCGCACTCGAAGAATTATTAGATTTACTTTTAGTTAAGTAAAAGATAGTAATTCAATAAAACAGTTAAGCTTTAAAGATCTAACAGTATAGTATAATTGATTTATTGGATGAGCAAATTTAGAGTGCAATTCAGTATTTTTGGTGGTAATTTCGTATATTTTGATTGAAAAAAGGGAATTTACAGTTAAAGTATTAAATATCACCCATTTGAATTTATATGTAACAAACCTTCACTTATAGAAAAACCTGTAGTTAAGTACATACTTTTATATTTATATTATAATATAAAGATAGGTATGTATTGGGATTATTTGGGGTACAAACGAAAAGAAACGTGTCAGTGCATTTGTATGTACGTCAATCAAATTAGAGATGTGTTAAATAGGGTCTAATTATAGGGCACTGACTTGCTTAGATGCTTGAGAATAAATACATTTCAAGTTTTTCTGAACTGGTGACAATAAAACGCTGATAATGTGGACATATAATCCTCAATTATCTAAAAATCGCGGGTACGTGATACTTACTTGTGAATATACTGAGAAAAGCTCTACTAGTTTCGAACCACAGTGGGGTCCTTCCTCATGAGCAGATTTTTAGTTAATTTAGTATGTCTCGCAATAGTTATTATAAAAACGTAATCCTCAAGTTTTTCGCCAGTTATTTTCGAAAATCAATCCCTTGAATCCAGTCACGCTTGCAAATTTGACTAAAGAAGCCATCTCGTGATGAGTTATTGATCTTACAAAGTTAGTCTAAGATAAATTTATGACTATGATTACAAACTGTATAATACTGACGCAAACAGGACCTAAAACTTGACTGAAAATATTGAAAGCTGGTATAACCATTAATTGATTTAATGGTTGAGTTAGAAAATGAAATCGTTTTCTACAGCTCAAGTTTACTTACATAATTCTAGTGACTAAGCAGCTCTTGGCTTTCTTCTGACGATATATCTGGGTAGATGGCCAGTACTAGCTTTCGCTTAAGACTTATGTGCAAAATCCTTAAGATACCTACTTGAATTATCTATTAAAACAGATTTAGATTTCACTGTATTTGAGACAAATGTTAATACAGTCAAATCCATATATATAACTTCGAATTCTTTCCTACAGTCATGTAGATAATAATAAACTGTTTAACTTTCATTAGTTATTTGTAATAATAAGAATAGTGGATTATAACACAAAACACATATAACATAACATCACGCCTTTTTTATCCCCGAAGGGGTAGGCAGAGATGCACATTTCAGCACTTAATGCCACTGTGCAATGCAATTTTCACTATTTATGTTATGAGTCCCATGTAATACGGGGTGAGCCTATTGCCATATACCGGGTACATTTCCAGACTCCGTGCTACTGCTGAGATTTTTAAAAACCCAGTAATACTTTGCCCGGTCGTACTGGCGACCACTCGGCCAACGAGGCAGTCATATAGTCAATAGTGGATTATGTGTTGGTAAATCGGCAAGAGAATTCAAACTAACCATAAACAACCTGCAATGTTTTCCCTAAATCCTAAACTAACCTGGTTACCTTTTACCTATCTTTTCGTAATATGAATAAAAAAAATAAAAAATGATGGTTATGCAATTCAACAGTCTTCATCACATGGTGGCCACAAAACCAAATTCCAAATTGTTCTTGAACTACAAGAACAATTTATTATTTTCACAAATAATCTGTACCCATATCTTCGTCGTCAATAGCAGAAAAGAAAAGTCATCTAATGCCCTGACAAGCACACATACACATAAAACGTGTTTCAAAAAACTATCCGCACCACAAAAATGTTAAAGAATTTCTGGCTTTCCGTTTGCCTAGCATACGTTTACCTGCTCACCCACATAGTAGACTAGCGTGAAGCTGCTACGAGCAATTAATAGCGATAAGTCGACCGTTACAGGCATTCTACGGGTTTTTATATCGACTTAAATTGTTCATTTGTTTAGAAAAAATGTGTTTATTTTCAGTATTTTGATATTAAAATATATACGGGCTGTTAATCATGTCAACAGATAATTTAAATAGTTTTAATATTTGTAGTTTGCGAATGACTGCCTTTATTGTGGTTATTGGTTAATTGGCCTCCATGTATGGTCACAGAGCAAGAGTTCTCTTCGTCAGTGCCTGGGTCACGGTTAGGCAAAGCATTTAATGTGTTTTACGGTTTTCAAAAAATCATAGTACTTAGTTCGTATCAAGAATGTACTACGTTCTTGATACGAACGCATAGAGTTCAGAATGGTGTCCAGTATACGGCATAAGGTTTACCTCCTAGGCATCTTAATTCTACACTTTTGGCAACAACTATTGTCTTTATTTTTGATTTAAATAGTTCTTGATTAGACAATTACTGGGTACTTATTATAAGATGAAATAATAAGCTATTGTAACATAATTCAAAACGAAAACACTTGTTTACCTAATTGAAGAATTATGTTTAGGTACCTATATTTTTGTTTGAGCTTTATAACAATCATGACATGACACATTATCTAAAGCCCACGACTGTTCGAGTAGAATATAGGTACATAAATTATAAATGAAAATACACAATACATTCAATGTTAATTTCTATTTAGTAAGTAAGTACCTAGATAGGCATTTTAGCAAATTAAAAATCGGTTTATAAGAACTTTTAAATAAAAGCTCTCTATTCTACTTTTTGCGGGATCATTGATAAGCCAAATAAGAATTTAGATATGTAATTGTGTGATGGGACAAAACGACGATATGCTAGCTTGTAGGTATATACGGAATCATTATGAAAAATCTCAATTCGTATTCTTATTTGAATTTGGAATCTCATTCGTTTCTAAACTCCTTCTATGGGAATACAAATACAGTGGTGTTTGATATATATAGTTAGGCTTTTATATTAATCAAAAACAAGAACAATTGAGATTATGGCAATATCCTGTATACATATATTTAAAGGGTCCTTGTCCAGTAGTAGACTGTTTTGGGATGATGAAGAACTTGCTATATTTTGAATCTTTACCCAACAACAAATAGTATTTTTGAACACAAATAAAACTTTATTGTTTGCATCATACTTCGTAGCTACTCTTATTAGGACACAAACAGGAGACCTATACGTTACTGCGATTGCCGCTTTCTTTACGGTAGTATTAAACTTATATTCATGCACAAATTGTGCCCAAAAAGATAATTATCATAACTGTGAGTAGGTAAGTATACCTGATCAAAGCTGTGACGCATATATTACACGATTATACCCAATTTCATACATGTTATTCATAATCAACCCTTATGCAAAAACGTTGTCAATCCCATCCCAACATATTATCCTTTGATAGTTTGATGACACATTAATACGGAAATCCGTTTGTCGACTTAAATAATTACTTTCATTCATAAACTTATGAATTAAATAGTAAACTTTTAAGTTTAAATTATAACTGAATTATCTTTAAAAATGTTAAATAACTTAATTATTCAACTTACCGACTTTTAAATATCAAAACAGCTGTAGAAACAAGATATGTATGTAGGATACCACGTAAAAAAATGAACCACTGTTTTCTTATAAGAAACTTTCACATTTTGCCACACACTTCCACACGCGATTTCCGTGTCTACACGTTTGAATTCACTACTAAAAAAACAATTTTAAATTAAAACACAATTTCGAGTATAAGAAAAGTCGTAAAGCATGAATTTTGTAACAAAAAGTTAGTGTATTTATTTTATTTCGTTGAAGAAACCGCCATTATAATTTGAACATGCGCGCGCAGTACTGTCTGAAGTCAACTGACGCGGCGCGTCTCGAAATTCACTTCGATTCATACGTAGAGGCGAGACAGCAGATACGTTTTACGTAGGATAGATAGAGACGGATAGAGGGTGTCATGTAGCGGTAATTTTTTTCTCCTTTCGCGCGTCAACTTTCTAAATCGCCTTGAGGTGTTCGGTCATCTTGTTTTGGTGTTAAAAATTGTTTTGATTCAAAAATTAAGGATAAAATGTTGTGAATAAGATTTTATCCTTAATTGTCAAGAATCTTCCACCTTTGTGTAAAATTAAGTTCATTTAGAAAAAAAATACCTACATTGATCAAAAGAAGTATTTTTGTGTATGTGAAAGTTGGATTGCGTATTAAAAGTGCAACGTCAATTTTCTTCCAATTTTACGTAAAATAAAATCTTCAGTAAGATTTCCCCTGTCGTAAAATATAAACATTTTCTATGACGTCATTAGTAAGAAAATCTGAACTCTAAATTCGCACTTAACTACCACGGCTCGTTGGTCTAGGGGTATGATTCTCGCTTCGGGTGCGAGAGGTCCCGGGTTCAAATCCCGGACGAGCCCGTAGAAGATTGACTCGATCTTCTTTTTGTATCCTATTTATCTTTTTATTGACCTACTTTTTTATTAGTTCATCATTAAAAAGAGATTTAATTTTTTCATTTCGTTTTTCAAAAAAAATATTACTGTAATAAAATTATTATACTGGGCTTCGAAATCACTTTTAAATATTATTCATATTTTGAAAAAGCTTGAGTTATTTTTAATTTGAAATAAATAGTTTAATTCGACATTTCAGCTGATACACCACTGCACATGATTACAAATATATTTAAAAATAGCTTGCGACATCTAGCTAAAAACTAGAGTACTACTTTGTAATTTACCTAAAACGTTTCAAAGATGGCGTTGTACAAAACATGACATGTGTAATCCAACTTTTTGTAGTAGAACACCATACCATCTGTATTATAATAGAGCATTCTTCTTTCCAATTTTGCCGGACAGTCGACAGGTGGCTAGTTTCGGGCAATGACATTCCTCGTCCCCCAGACAGACAAATCAACCCCCGCCCCCGCGCGCTCCAGTGCGCTTGAAACTTTACAGACAAAGTATTAAACTTTTTACAATACGTGTTTTTTTATCAAATAATAATAAAAACCTTTAAAAGACTTCGCTCAAGTGTTCAAGCGTGAATAAAAAGTGTTTGAAACCAGATTTCAAGTATAAAAACAGTTTGTTTTACCGAAAATGTCGGGTGCCAGTACTTCTACGAGTCCGCCTATGGCTTCGATTAGCGATGTAAACACATTATTTCAAAACGCAAAGAAATATGAAGAATTAAATGTAATTGGAACAGGTATGTAATAAGTTTTGTAACAGAAATAACCTAATTTATAACGCGCCGCGTCGCGACGCCGGCGTATGTGTTTTCGCGCAAATTATTACGACTATATGCATTTGTTTTTTGTTTATTTATTTTTGTTTGTTGTTTTTATTGAGTCAAATATTGTTTTTAATATTCTATTTTGTTTAACAAACATATTGAACACGTTATTCGTGTTATATTTCATTAACAAAATGTTATTTTTGATGTACAAATATTGGTATAAGTACATGAGTTGATTATGAGTCTGTTTTCTGTTTATTCAATTGTTTTTTTTTAATATTTGAAAATTTGTTTGTTCACTACTTAACAATAGTCATTTACCAATGTTAAAATACTTAAAAATCTAGGTTTCAAAGTTATGTTCTGTGTGTCAATGAACCCAACTTTAAAAGAGTTGCTGTTTTGACTTTTTGAGAACAAACAAGTTAGCAAAAAGTTAAGTAAACTGGTTTCTACCAATATCTATGGTACATTTCTATTTTTAAGCTTTACCATAGATCATGATAGTTAAATTTATTTTACTATATAAAAGCTAACAAATAAATTACATTCACAAAGTTATAAAAAATACACAAGCACTATTCTTCCTGGCCTCTACCAACTAGATTGGAAATATTGGCATCTACCGCTGAGATTTATTCAAATAAATATCAGCATTCTGGAAGTCGTAGAAGTGAGAGGAGGTCTAAATCCCTCTGATTTCATTATGTGCACTGGTTTGACCAATGGCATTGTCAACCAATTAGTAGATTTTTAATAAAAGAGAACATACATATATTCTTTCAAAAGTTTACATTTAAAGTGTAAGGCTCTAGACAGACAGACCGCATTTCAACTGCAATACAACCACAAATTGCAGTTCAGGTGCGGTTTAAATACAGTTGTGTCATGACTGAACTGCAAACCAAACATGCAGTCTGATTGTTGATCTATTGTAGTCATGACCAAACGGTTTCTAACCAAACAACCAGGGCAATAGCAGTTCTATTGCAGTTGTGTCAACTGGAGTTCAAATTGCATTCAAACTGCCATTAGCAAATGAATGTTGTTGTCTGTTTAGAGCCTCAGTAGGAACCAGTAGCTGTAGTAGTATTCAAAGGTTAGGATAGTTTTCTTATTTCTAAATCATATTTTTGTTACGTTCACTATATCACTTATATCTTATTGCATCAGATTCAAAACATAACTTAACTCATAATATGGCTGCGCACGGTTGGTGAGGTGTCTAGACTGTGCAACATGTCCGCGAAACATTCTATGAGTAACGGAGAGTAACGAATGGAGTTTCTTGCTCGTTCTTCTCCACTCGAATCGACATTTTGGAACGAGCGCCTAGCTTCACTGACGGACAGACTGACAGACTATTATATATTTCATATTTGTTGACGTTTCAAAAGTACCAAATTATGGTTTAATTGAAATAAATGCTTTTGAGTTTGAGTTTATTCCAGCACGGAACAGCTCTTTGTGTAATCTACAAATTGTTGTTCCACGTCTGGGTGTCATGTGTATATGAACTTGTATGTTTGTAAACGCACACACCCATGATACAGGAGAAATTCCTAGTTTGAGGCAACATTATAAAAAATATCAGATCATTAAGAGCTTCTTTCCTTTTAGTACCACTTCAGGTTGTAAAATTTATATTACCTACACTTCTGTCCAACCCCTCAGAGATCAAAAGACAAATATTTAACAAATAAACATGTAATAAACATTCCAGGAGCCTATGGCACAGTATACAAAGCGCGGGACCTCCACAACGGAGGCAATATTGTAGCCATGAAGAAAGTGAAGGTGGCACTCACTGAGGATGGGATCCCTCTCTCCACACTTCGGGAGATTGCACTACTGAGACAGCTGGAGGCTTATAGACATCCTAATATTGTCAGGTAATTTGCCTTTTTTTGAAGAACTATGAATTTGGTGGACTGCCTCGTCGGCCGAATAACTGTCTCGTTGGTCGAGTGACTGCCTCGTCGGCAGAGTGACTGCGTCGTTGGCCGAATCTAGGGGTCTCGGGTTCGTTTCCCGGGTCGTGCAAAGAGTTTTCACCCTGAAGAGGTGTACCATAATTGAAATTATCTAATCTATCCTACTTAATAATAATGATCATGTCTCCTTCTAGACTCCTGGACGTCTGCCACGGTGGTCAGTCACTGGAGCGCGACCAGCAGCTGGTCCTGTTCCTGGTGTTTGAACACGTGGACCAGGATCTGGAGTCTTTCCTCAAGAAGTCACAGTCACCATTGTCACATGGAGTTATTAGGGTAATATATTCAAAGAAAGAAAAACAGTTTTTTAAGGACAAGCCGGTAAACGAGCAGACGGATCACCTGATGGTAAGCAATCAGCGTCGCCCATGGACACCTGGAACACCAGAGGCGTTACAAGTGCGTTACCAGCCTTTTGGGGGTTATAAATTTGAGTATTGTTAAAGATTGGGGAGATTGGGAAAAGGGGGCGTGTAATTAATTAGGCCTCCGTTAACCTCACTCACACAACGCAAGCATTGTTTCACGTCGGTTTTCTGCTCGGCCGTGGTATCGCTCCGGTCGAGCCGGCCCATTCGTGCCGAAGCATGGCTCTCCCACGCTTAATTATATAGTCACACCATCTATACTAATCTATACTTTCATAATAGGGTAGTTTCCTAAATTTTATTTGAATGTCCGTTTGGTACATTAATTTAAAAATTTAGACACATATTTTTTCTTTTCTCACAAAATTAAATGCTTTCGACGATATATTAATTTTGAAATATCGTGTGACGTTACAGTGTGTCACATTTTGTAGCACGTTATGACGTAACGACCTCCCACTCCTAAACTTTACGCCATTTTATCTAAGTATTGCAACTTAATACGAGAAAATAAAAAAAATACGTGTCTAATATTTTTCATTATCTAAATGACGGACTAATTAGATTTTTAATTTTGATACCCTGGAAACTACTCAATTATAAAGCTGACAAGTTTGTTTGATTGTTTGTATGCTGGCACGCGCGGATCTTCGGAACTGTTGGTATGAATTTAATAATTATTTTTAAATGGTCCATTTATCGTAGTCTATGACATCTATGACACAGTACACCCTGGGCCAGTGTCCAGGGCCCCCATCCTCAGGAGAGAGGTTCAAAGGCCTTAATTCGAGTTTCTTTTTCATTTAAAGTACTCGTAACGAGTACGCGTTCGGCGCTGTAATTGGCCGACTCTAATGAACCAACCAATCAGAGAACACAGAACGCCGTCTCGTTTTGATTACTTTAAAAGAAACTCGTACTTAGGCCTCAGATATCCACTACACGTTGCCAGAGGCCTTAGTACAAGTTTGTCTTACATTTAACTCGTCGAGTACCGTCATTATAGACACAATTATAGAACAATAGGTTGCGGTCACCGGTGTCCGCGCGGTGTTTGACAGTTTAAAGTAATGGAAACGAGACCTCGTTCGGCGCTGTGATTGGTTGCTTCATTGGCGCCGGCCAATCAGAGTACCGAACGCGTACTCGTTTCGAATACTTTAAACGTAAATCAAACTAGTACTAAGGCCTCTGATTGGTTGGTTTATGGGAGCCGGCCAATCACAACGCCGAACGCGTACTCGTTAAAAGAAACTCGTACTAAGGCCTCTGGCAACCAGCTGGCAACGTGTAGCGGGTTCGATTTGTAGCAAATCTTTGTGAGATCCATAAATTGTTGTACCGGGTCTGGGTGTCATGTGTATGTGAACTTGTATGTTTGTAAATGCACCCATGGGGAAACGTTTAACAAAAGAAAAATTCCTAAAAGGCCCTGAATTGTTGTGTAGCCAAGTGCTTCAGCGTAGTTTTAGACGGCCCTGGGTGCTCCTTCACGCTAAGTAACTCTTAGCTAAGCGATGGTTAAGGGGTGGTTTTGGAAATGGCCATATACCTAAAAATTGACGTTAGACTGAATTAAGAAATACTTATTCCTAATATATCGACCTCCAAAATACTTTATGTTATCTTAAAAAACCTATGCTGCCTCGTTGGCCGAGTGGTCTCGGGTTCAATTCCCGGTTAAGGCAAAATATTACTGAGTTAAAAAAAAATCTCAATAGTAGCACGGAGTCTGTGTCTATTGTGCCCGGTATGTGGCAATAGGCTCACCTCCTATTACATGGGACTCGTAACATAAATAATGAAAAGTGAGTGTTACATTGTACAGTGGCATTAAGTACCGTAATGCGTATGCATGATATAATGTGAAAAAATCTATCTTTACAGAATATGTCATACGACATCCTATCAGGCATAGACTTCCTCCACTCACACCGCATCGTCCACCGCGACCTGAAGCCACACAACCTTCTGGTGACCTGCTCCGGACGAGTCAAGCTGGCTGACTTCGGGCTCGCCAAGACTTATGATACAGATATGAAGTTAACCAGTGTGGTATGAATTGGAACCTTATACTTACTTGATTACCAATTTTGTTATTCAATTGTATAGTTTTTTTTTTTTGTTAATTTTGTTTCTGAATTGTATTAATTTTTATTTCTTATATTTAATTACCTAATTATCTCTCGCAA